ACCTAGCTGTCCAATTAATGAATACTTGTTAATTGATTAGAAACCATTTAATCAACCTTTGCTCTATTTCCCTCCAGGTGAGGAATCTGAGGCAGAAAGCAATTAAGTAACTTACCCAGGGTCACCGAACTAATAGATGGCTAAGGTGGGATTTGAACCCAGGTCCTCCTGGTTCCAAACCCAGTGTACTCTCCACTGTGTCGTGCTGCCTCTTGTCATGGATTTCCTTATTCTAGTTTACTCTATCTACTTTATTATTGTGTCTTAGTGAATATCCCAAAGTTTGGAGGAACCATTTGAGATATGAAAGAGTAGGCAATAGTTTTTATTCTCAAATATTATGTACATGTGTTCTTACCTGTGACTCTGTGATCTGAGCAAAAACCTCTGAAGACTGTTCACTTGAGAGAGGCAAGACCACTGAGTAAATTGGAGAAGCCATTATCTATTTTCTTTTGACTCAGCTGAGGGATAACCAAGCTCCTAGCTTATCCAACTGATTACATAAGCCAAATACACAAATACCTTCCCCATCTTTACTTGAGCTGCAGTCTCAGGTGGGGATTATTGGGTTCCAAAAGCCTTTCTCTCCAAAGGTTATTTTTTAGAGGTAACTTGGTATGAGGAAGAGAGCTCTAGATCTGGAAATCAACAAGCCTGAGTTCAAATCCAGGCTTTGCTACTTATTCACTATTTAATTTTAGGAAACTCTTCCCCTTACTAGTCTGCCTCTGTTAAATGAGGACAATGGACTAGCTGGTGTTTAGACCCCCTTCTAGCCCTAAATCTTCTGATCTCAGTAATTAAGATAATTATAACTTTTCCCTTCTGTTTACCCCAATCTGGAATTATGGGTACCTCCCATCCCAAAAATTGTGGCAGAGAACTGTCTGGAATTATTTGGAGGGGGAAGTAGATTCTCTTAAAGAAGACCCAGGGGGAATGTGTTTCTCTGGCATATGGTGATCTTCTCTGTAGGAATATTTTTAGTGTTCTGACAGGGGGAAAAGTGTGGATAATATCATCTTTCATTTACAAGGGCCACTGTATTTCGGAAGATGTGAGAAAAAAATTCTGTTCATAACTAATAATGCTTTTTAAATAGCTAGAGTTCCAGCTGTTAATGTTGTAAAAAGGAAAACATGAAACAACTGTGCTATAAATAAGGTAGTTGTATACACCGAGATTAATTACATCATGAATGTAAGAAGATGATATAACATTTAAGAACAGATGTGTGAGCCCAAATCACTGGCTGGTTTTGCCCCAGGCCATAAAATCATTAGTTATATTTCAGAGAATTACTGTACTGAAAGGTTTTCTCTGTGTCTGCTTTATAGATAAAACTAGAGTTCCAGTCCAGTCCTCTGTTAAGTACCTACTACAAGTAAGGGACTGAATATAGAAAGAAAAAGTGACAAAGATCCCCACCCTTCAAAGATTTTACATTCCCCTATGATGGGAATTTTTCTGTTTCCCTAAAACACCTTCTCTACCCAGCCGTCTGATACCTGAAATCCTACAATGAGAAATTGTTTACTTTGGCATTAGAATACATTAAAATGCAGAGTTTACCAGAAGAATTAAGCCTTATCAATTACTCATTTATATATCCAAGGGAAGGAGGATTTTAGTTCCTTTCAAAAAGAGGTTTTAATTAGGGATGTGGAGGGAAGGTGAGTATTTGGATTAGGCATAAGGAGATGATAAGAAGGAAAGAGGAAGCTGGCCTTGAACATGTAGTCCCACTGAACTCAAACAGCAGTTATTTACCTATAATTTTAGGTAGGACAGGTGAGAATGAATACTTGACAAGCAAAATGGTAAACTTTTAGCCATCTGACCAGCAAGTTCACTAAGCTATTTGACCAGCAAGCTCACCTCGATGTGGCTGTGGGTTTTTTTTTTAAAGTAACAAAAAATCCCTATTAAAGTAACCTGTGTAGATATACAAACATATACATGAATATACGTATATATATGTGTGTGTGCATGTGTGTATGTGTATGTATATATGTATATATATATATATCTTATTTACAAGGATCAGTGGATGTCAAGCATATTGAGAGGAGCAAAAGCATTCGTACATTTGCCTATTACTTCTGAGTTTAACTGACCTCTGGTGAAGAGGGAGTCACAGTAGACGTTCAGAATGATGGAGAATTGCTTCTCTAACAGGACAAAGTTCATCTTAGCTTGGATTATTGCTCTTTGACAAAGGGATGATGATCTTTATACAGGACCTTGTTCTTATACCTAACTTTAATTTTTAAAAAAAAATTTTTATTAATTAATTTATTTTTAATTTTCAACATTTACTTCTACAAGATTTTGAGTTCCAAATTTTCTCCCCATTTCACCCCTCCCCCAACCCAAAATGGCATGCATTCTGAATACCCCTTTCCTTAATCTACCCTCCCTTCTATCCCCCCCTTCTCTTTCCCCTTCTCCTTCTATTTTTCTATAAGGCAGGATAGATTTCTATACCCCCTTGCCTGTATATCTTATTTCCCACACCTAACTTTAATTTGATAAACATTTCTTAAGCACCTACCATGCACAAAGCACTGTGATAAGTTCTAGAAACAGAGAGATGACAAATGAGGAGCTCAAGTAGCCATGGTGAGTGAGTGTATTTTAGCATAGCTGGTTTATATTTTATTTCATAATGCTTCTATAATATATCTGGAGCTCTTTTGGGAGAGAATTAATTTTAGAATAGGTAACTGTCTGTCTTTGAAGGTTAGATATTCACCTGCTCTCTGAAATAAAGGACTTAACTAAATTTCTTTCAAGATGTCTCTTCTAGTATTCTATGGCTAATAACTAGGTAATTAGTTGTGGTTACTTGACTCAACATTAAGATCTAACTTGGATGTAAAAATTCTTTCCCAGTTTTCTACTTTCCTCCTAGTCTTGGTTGTATTGGTTTTATTTGTACAAAAACTTTTCAACTTAATGTAATCAAAGTTATCCATTTTACATTTCACAATGCTCTGTATCTCTTGTCTGGTCATGAATTCTTCTGTTCTCCATAAATCTGATAGGTAAACTACTCTTTGCTCTCCCAGTTCACTTACAATATCAGCCTTTATATTTAAATCATGAACCCATTTTGACTTTATTTTGGTATATGGTGTGAGATTTTGGTCAATACCTAGTTTCTGCCATACTCTTTTCCAGTTTTCCCAGCAGTTTTTGTCAAAGAGTGAGTTTTTATCCCAGAAGCTGGGGTCTTTGGGTTTATCAAATAATAGATTACTATGGTCATTGACTACTGTGTCTTGCATCCTTAACCTATTCCACTGATCCAACACTCTATTTCTTAGTCAGTACCAATCAGTTTTGATGATTGCTACTTTATAATACAATTTAAGATCTGGAATGGCTAGGCCACCTTCCCCTGCATTTCTTTTCATTAGTTCCCTTGATATTCTGGACCTTTTGTTCTTCCAAATAAATCTTGTTATTATTTTTCTAACTCTATAAAATAATTTTTATTTTATAAAAAATAAAGTCAATGTAACCAAGATTAGAAGGAAAGTAGAAAATTGGGAAAGAATTTTTATAACCAGTTTCTCTGATAAGCGCCTCATTTCTAAAATATATAGAAAATTAAGTCAAATTTATAAGAATACAAGTCACTCCCCAATTGATAAATGGTCAAAGGATTTGAACCGGCAATTCTCAGATGAAAAATTAAAGCCATCTATAGTCATATGAAAAAATGTTCTTAATCACTATTGATTAGAGAAATGCAAATCAAAACAACTCTGAGGTACCACATCACATCTATCAGATTGGTTAACGTGACAAAACAGGAAAATGATAAATGTTGGAGAAGATGTGAGAAAACTGAAACACTAATGTATTGTTGGTGGAGTTGTGAAATGATCCAACCATTTTGGAGAGCAATTTGAAACTATGCCCAAAGGGCTATAAAAATGTGCATACCCTTTGACTCAGCAATACCACTACTAGATCTGTATCCCAAAGAGATCATGCAAATGGGAAAAGGACCCACACATACAAAAATATTTATAGCAGCTCTTTTTGTGGTAGCAAAGAATTGGAAATTGAGTGGATGTCCATCAATTGGGGAATGGCTGAACAAGTTGTGGTATATGAATGTAATGGAATACTATTGTGCTATAAGAAATGATGAACAGGTATACTTCAGAAAAACCTGGAAAGACTTGTGTGGTCTGATGCTGAGTGAAGTGAGCAGAACCAGGAGAACATTGTACACAGTAACAGCCATGTTGTGAGATGACTAATATTGATAGACTTAACCCTTCTCAGCAATACAAGGATCTAAGACATCTCCAAAGGCCTCATGAAGGAAAATGCTATCCAAAGAAAGAACTATGGAGTTTGAATGCAGATCAAAGCATACTATTTGCTATTTTTTTCTTCTGTTGTGTTTTGTTTCCTCTTTCAGGTGATTCCTCCTATTGGTTCTAATTCTTCCTTACAACATCACTAATGTGAAAATATGTTTAATAGGAATGTATATGTACAGCCTATATCAGATTGCACACCATCTTGGGGAGGGAGGGGGGAAGAATGGGGAGAAAAATTTAAAACTCAAAAGCTTATGGAAGTGATTGTTGATAAATCAAAATAATTAATAAAAAAAAGATTTAACTTGCTTTCTAACAAATATGGAAGTCAGAGCTTGGTAGCTATGATATGCCTTTTCCAGAATTTTTGATTCTGTCAAAAAGATTTCCAAGCTTCCTCCCTGTTGGCTCTCCCCATAGAATTTAAGCTCTTTGAGGTCAGGAACTGCTTTGTTTGCATCCTTGTGTCTTTAATGCCTAGCACGTAAGTGTCTAATAAATGCATTTTGAATTGAATTGAATATAGCTGATAGGGAATGGGATGCCCACTCAGTGAACATCTGTAGGAAGTATTCTTAATGTGGAAAACCATGGTTTCAGAAGAAAAATTAATGCTTTATGGGTATCTCATACTGTTCTTTGCTTCCTCCACAGGGAATCAGCAGCCTGTTTAGCTCACTTAAAGTTGTTCGACTCCTACGCCTGGGACGAGTGGCCCGCAAGTTGGATCACTACATTGAATATGGAGCTGCAGTCCTTGTCCTGCTGGTGTGTGTGTTTGGATTGGCAGCCCACTGGATGGCCTGTATCTGGTACAGCATCGGGGACTATGAGATCTTTGATGAGGACACAAAAATGATCCGTAACAACAGCTGGCTCTACCAGCTGGCTATGGATGCTGGGACGCCTTACCAGTTCAATGTGTCTGGCCTGGGGAAGTGGGAAGGTGGCCCAAGTAAGAATTCTGTCTACATCTCTTCCTTGTATTTCACCATGACCAGCCTCACCAGCGTGGGTTTCGGGAACATTGCCCCCTCCACAGACATAGAGAAGATCTTTGCAGTTGCTATAATGATGATTGGCTGTAAGTACTAGAGGTGCTCTGTTTGTGATTTCATGTTTGGTTACACCTTCTGATTAGTGGATACAGGGCTGTGGCTGGGGTGGCTATGAAAAACGTGTTTTTGTACTAGTGAGAAAAAAAACAAACAAATGGGAGAAAAGCCTGATGTTGAACTGAGAAGTATCATGTTGACTAATAAACATGGATAGATGGAAGAACAGCCCTAACATTTGATGAGGAAGTTTGAATTCTAATTAATTGTCCAGCTGTTGTTCTTTACATCATGATTACCATCACCCCACAGAGGGGAAACAAACATTTCTTGTGACTGGATTTTGGCTGGCGGGAGGCTTGTGGAACGAGTGGAAATAGCTTCAGTTGGGAAGGGATATGCATCTCAGACACTGGGGCTTCATTTGTAAAATACCTTAATATAGCAACACTTAATGGGTCTAGTTAGGCAGCTGATGTGGTTTCTGGGGTCTACATAGCAGATTGGTTTGAGTCCACAATGGACTAGGAAAGAACTGCTCTGATGAGAGTGTGGATGTGGAAAGTACCTTGGTGAGAACCTTTGGAAAATAGGGGCTCTGTGCCATAAACATCCCATTTGATGCATTATTTTCAAAGGTGGACTTGCTGGTAAATAGCCAAGCAGAGAAAAACTTTATTGTAAGAGCAGCATTTCACGGAAACCTTGGACTCGGCGTTTGCTTGAGAAAATCCAGCTAGCTACACCACTCAGATCCTATAGTGGACAGTGAGTGGATTTTCATGCTCCCCCCCAATTTTCCCTTACACCTCCTTTCACCTCTTGTTTGCAATTGCCTCCTCAGCAAAGACTAATGATGAGCCTTTTGCAGTCAGCTCAATCCTAAAACCCTTCACTGGATTAGGAGGCTGAAACAGCTTTGGTTTTAGAGTATTTACAGAAAGTGTCTAAAAGGGTAATTGATTTGTAGGAAACCATTGCCAGAGATGCTTTTGAATGTACTCCTTACTTCAAAACTGGTTTTAATAGAGATGATTGCCTGACCATGGGAAGCAGTGCTAAGCATCTGTGGGTGGCTAATTGGTGCAACTTAATTAGAACTCGGAGGTGTTTTCTCATGTAGCGTAAAAAGGATTTAAGACCCTTGTTCTCCAGAAACGATTTCTGGCTTAATAACGCCTATTTATGAGACAGTCCTCACAATACTTTCTTGATTCTTAGGGAGGTTCAGAGTAAGGGACAGAAGGATCCCCGCCCCATTGGGAGGCAATCACTGCCCTCTAATAGGAGAGAACACATGTGTGTTGATTGATATATCGTTATTTTAAGTAAAGAAGTATGCCAATGAAATAGAGTCAATCAGAGATTGTGTTGGGAGAAGAAAATGGGCTTAGTTAATCTAAGAAGACTTTCTAGTTTAAGGAGGCTTTCCAGCAATTCCCCAGCCTGAAGAGAGGAGGAATGTGGAAGCATCAAAGACTGGGGAAAGGGAGTGCATCTGTACTGATAACCTGTGTATAGATTGAAAGGTCTGGTTTCCCCCCAAAACAATCTGATGTAAATAGGGCTATATCTTGTCATGTATCAGTGATTTAGACACTTCTCAGCAGCTGCCTTTTCTCTTTCTCATCTCTCCCAGAGCTAGACAAATGTAGTAATGGTTAGGGTTGTTTAGAAAGGAAGATTCCAATGTTAATTGGTGTGTTTCACATGCTATAGCAATTTGATTGGTCATAGGACATCCTGTTAGGGCAAATGAGATAGTGTTTATAATGTAGAGTATTTGTAACTGTTCTTGTAGATTTGTGTTCCCTAGAAAAAGTTTACTCAAGGATGTGCTACTGCCTTCCTTCCTGACACTTTGCCTACTTTGGTATAATGCTCCATAAGTTCAAGAAACCCTGACATAGTGACTACAGTACACACTGGTTTGTTCCTGTGATTGTCAGCTTTTGGTGACATGCGTATGTTAGGATTAAGTTATAGCACAAAAAAAAAGTGTTAAGCTATCTAAATAGGAGAGCACCTCCTGCAATGTGTCTTTGTTAAAGTTTTCTCAAAACGTATTGACGTTCCAGAGTGCTGCATTTATCTTTAGAGAAGAGTTAACTTCTTGTTTTTATGGTGTATTATCTTTATTGAAAAACATGACTAGATCCAAGAGACAAAATTTCCTCTAACCAATGCTCCAAAAGAACTGTTAACAATATATTTTACTCCCAATTCTTGGTGTAGCCAAAGCACTCAAGCTATGATAGGCAAAGGGAGAGAGAAAGATTTTGTTCAGATGTAGTGCCTACCCTCATGGAGCTTCTGGTCTAGGAAGAGGATAACAAGGACACATAGATAATTGCAACATATAATAATGCCTGATGATTATATTACAGAGGAACAAACAAGGCACTATGGACTTAAGATCCTTGTTCTCCCAGAAATAATTTCTGGCTTAATATGTGAGGACCAAAAAAGATCACAAAGGAGATGCTTTCTGAGTTGTATATTAAAGGATGAGTAGGAATTCAACAGACAAAGAAAGGGAGAGTGGAAATTCCAGGCATGCTGCATACTGGAGAGATCAAGAGGAAAAGGACCCATATATACAAAAAATATTTACAGCAGTACTTTTTATTGTATCCAAAGACTGAAAACTAAGGGTGTGCCTGTCTATTAGGGAGTGGCCAAACAAGTTATGGCATATGAATTTAATGGAATATTATTGTGCTACAAGAAATGACAAAATGGACAGATTCAAAGGAACCTTGGAAGATCTCTATTAAAGGAAGGAAGGATGGAAAGTAGGAGGGGGGAAAGTAAGAAGGAAGAAAATAGGAAGGAAAATCAGAAGGAAGAGAGGAAGATGAGAAGGAAGGTAGGAAGGAAGGAAGAAGATAGGAAGGGAGGAAAGGATTTTTTAAAATTAATTTTTCTTAATAGAATTTTGTTTTTTCCAATTACATGTAAAGATAGCTTTCAACATTCACTTTTGTAAGATTTTGAGTTCCAAATTTCTTTTCCATCCCTCTCTTCCTCTCCTCCCTTTCCCCAAGATGGCAAGCAATCTGATATAGGCTATATATGTACAATCATATTAATCATATTTCCACATTAGTCACGTTGTAAAAGAAGAATCAGAACAAAAGGGAAAAATCACAAGAAAGAAAACAACAAAAAAGAGAAAATAGTATGCTTTAATCTGCATTCAGACTCCATAGTTCTTTATCTGGATGTGGATAGCATTTTCCATTATGAGTCTTTTGGAATTGTCTTAGATCATTGTATTGCTGAGAAGAGCTAAGTCTATCAAAGTTGGTCATTGTACAATGTTGCTGTTACTGTGTACAATGTTCTCCTGGTTCTGCTCACTTCATTCAGTATCACTTCGTTTAAGTCTTTCCAGATTTTTCTGAAATCTGCCTGCTCATCATATCTTATAGCACAATAGTATTCCATTACATTCGTATGCCACAACTTATTCAGCTATTCCCCAATTGATGGGCATCGCCTCGATTTCCAGTTCTTTGCCACCACAAAAAGAGCTACTATAATATTTTTGTATATGTGGGTCCTTTCCCCTTTTTTATGATCTCTTTGGGATACAGATCTAGTAGTGGTATTGCTGGATCAAAGCTTATACACAGTTTTGTATCCCTTTGGGCATAATTTCAAATTGCTCTCCAGAATGGTTGGATCAGTTCACAACTCCACCAATGATACATTAGTGTTCCAATTTTCCTGCATCTTCTCCAACATTTATCATTTTCCTTTTCTTCATACTATCAATATCATATTGATATCACACCTATCATATCAATCTGATAGGTGTGAGGTGGTACCTCAGAGTTGTTTTTATTTGCATTTCTCTAATCAATAGTGATTTAGAGCATTTTTTTCATATAAGTATAGATAGCTTTAATTTCTTCATCTGAAAACTGCCTATTCATATCCTTTGGCCATTTCTCAATTAGAGAATGACTTGTATTCTTATACATTTGACTTAGTTCTCTATATATTTTAGAAGTGAGGACTTTATCAGAGATACTGGCTATAAAAATTATTTCCCAGCTCTCATTTCCTTCTAATCTTGGTTGCATTGGCTTTGTTTGTGCAAAAAACCTTTTAATTTAATGTAATCAAAATAATCCATTTTGCATTTCATAATGTTCTCTATCTCTTGTTTGGTCATAAACTCTTCCCTTCTCCATAGATCTAACAGGTATATTCCTTGCTCTCCTAATTTGCTTATGGTATCACCCTTTATGTTTAAATCATGTACCCATTTTGATCTTATCTTGGTATAGAGTGGAAGATGTTGGTTTATGCCTAGTTTCTGCCACACTGTTTTCCAGTTTTTCCAGCAGTTTTTGTTAAATAGTGAGTTCTTATCTGTAGGTTACTATAGTCATTGACTACTGTGTCTTGTGTACCTAACCTATTCTACTGATCCAGCACTCTATTTCTTAGCCAGTACCAAATAGTTTTGATGATTGCTGCTTTATAATACAGTTTTAGATCTGGTATGGCTAGGCACCTTCCCTTGCATTTCTTTTCATTAATTCCGGGAGGAAAGGATATTCTAGGTATAGGAAATAGTGAGCAAAGGCAGGAAAGTACAAGGGTTGTTTTGAGTATTGTCAGTAGCTCTATTCAATTGCATGATACAGAGGAATTTGTATCAGATAGGGCCAGAAAGGTAGTGTAATGCCATATTGTGCCAGGCAAAGAAATTTGAACTTTACTTATAGGGAATAGGGAACCACTGAAGACTTTTGAGCAGAGAAGTGACATGCTGAGGTCATTCTGGCATTTCTCCGAAAGACAAATTGAAGGAGACAGTCAGTCAAGAAGAGAATATCTTTTAGTAGACTACTATAGTAAACTATGCAGGTGGTGCTAGGGATAGTGGCAATGGTGATATGAAGGAAATGTAATGAGAGTGTTTTAGTGTTTACTGAAAATATTCTCTCTTCAACAAGTTGACAATGAATTTCTTTTGCCTTTGAAAGTGGTCTCAGCACACACTTGGTATAAG